ATTCCTGCTCCAGGCTAAAATGAAACATAGTTGTTTTCATACACACAATTCCTCAAAAAACCTGTGGCATCGTAATCACAGTGTGCAGAAGGAAAGGCTTCCATTTTGTTACACAGATACTCAGGTCGATTCATGTAGGCACAGTATGCAAGCATCTCAAAGTGATCTGTGTGTTTAATCCCCAGGGTATGCCTGAAAAACAGGGTCCTTGCACACCTTGTTTTTCAGATGGAGACCTGAAGCTGAGGATAAATTAACCAACTAGACAATGCCCCATGGAAAACCTGTGGGTTAAGCTGGGAGTTGAACTGCACAACCTCTTGAAGCCTGTTTGGGTGCCTCACTCACCTGAACACCTTTGGGATGAAAGGACGCAAGGCCCAGGCCTGCATTTCCTCCCTTCTCCCTATTTTGTGGTTCACTCTGCTTCTTTGCTCCCTTCCACACTGAAGTAAGACAAGGTCTGCAGAGTGGTCCTTCTGCGCATTGCCGCTGGTATTAACATAAATCTCAGCAAGTATTATTCACACGTATAATTACATAGTTTCTGAGTTACACAGTTATCTGAGCTTATGGCTGTAGAATGCTATTTTCCCCATCATAATTAAGCAGTCAGCATTTCAGAAAGTGAAGCAATTTGCAAGTTCAATTACAGACGATACTGCACCAGTGAGAGTTTGACTGTGGAACGGAGATGGCAGATGTCAAGGGACTTTGTATCCTGGATATTAAAGAATAGATTGTTTGTGATCAACGTCAACGATATTCTGAGGCCAACTGCAGTGAGGACAATCCTTGGTGGACAGTCATCCAAAATGAAATGCCCTCAATTTACTGGTAAGACTTATTCTCTGTTTTCTTAAGCATATTACAAATTTACTGCAGACATTGCCAAGAAAAAATAATTTGCGATCAGTTCTTTTCATTACAGCTGTCACCTTTTATCTTCAGATATATATTAGGAAGATGTAATGATATTATTAGATATAAGAAGTTAGAGGGAAAATCAGCACACTGGGCAAAAACACAGGGACAAGATTCCCCCCCCCCCCCCCCCTTCTTTTTGCTCACACATAATTGCCTTAAAATCATCTGAACCCTAGGTCTTTGATGAAACTTTCAAAATAACTGGTGTGCTTTACTAACTTAAAATTGTGGAGTTAACTGGCTTACTGGCTTGTCCTTTTCACTCACCATTGCCGTGTTAAATTTGATCTGATGTCACTGGTTAGGACAGAGGCAGACCCAAAGCTCACTAGAGTTTGTTGACACGCTACCATCAACTTCAAGAACATTTGGTTCAAGACCTTACTAAATAATCTTAAGTGCAATGCAAAGAAAGATGAGACTCCAGATGACTCTCTTTTAGCTATGTTGGCAAAGCCAGATCAAGAAGAGCAAACACAGATGTAACTATAACAGAAGCTATGTCAACAGCTACAGTACTCAGTGAAGATGCTTTCCTCTGCGGGGTTTGGAGTTTACCAGCACAAGAAACTTATTTTTTTTTTTCCCCCCTCAACTATCTCTTCTCTAATTTATATGATTAATTGGAATTTCCCTGTGGGGTCCCTCAGTAGTGCTTTATTAAAACACTTGAACAGCACAAACATAAAACCGCCTCCTTTTTCCTGTGGTGTCTGGCCTGTTTAAATATCTCTCTTTCCCACAGTGCCACTGGAATGCCTTCTGCTCTACAGGGCTACGCCTGCCTGGAGCCTGCAGCTCCTTCTCCTCCTCTTCCTCCTCCTCTCCCCTCAGGGCTGGCAGGGCTGCTCCTCGCAGTTTTCCCCCTCCCTGCAGGAAGTATTTTGCCCTTTCTTAGACCCGCTCCCCCCGAGGTGCCACCAGCGTGGCTGAGGGGCTGGGCTGTGCCCCGTGATGGGGCCACTGGAGCTGGCCAGAAGAGCCCCGGCCTCTCCTCACAGAAGCCCCACAGCCCCCCGCCGCCAGCGCCTGGGCACTGACAGCCAGTTCAACGTGAAAGCGAAAATTAAGGATGTTCTAATCAATTGTTCTGTTTTCAACTTAATGCAAATCCACTTCTGTTCACAGGACGAGCGCTGCCTCAGCACATCTCGCCAAGAAGCGACCACATAATGTGCCACAGCTGGATGACTTGCAAAGTTTGTCAAAACCACCCAGCTCCTACACAGAATGGAAGGAAGATGCTCATATGCTGTGTTTGATGATTAACATGGGTATTTTTTTCCTTCTCTGAACTCACTAAACTGAAGAAATTTGTGATGAACATCAGCTGCAGGATATTTGATTGGCAAAGCACACATAAGTGACTGGCTAAAGTTTTGTGCAAGCCAAACAAGTAACAGATCAATTTTAATGTTTTTATTCTGCAATGGAACAGGCCTGTAAAATAAAAGAGCAAGTATTGAGGAGGAATACAAAAGCATCTAATGTATTCTTAACCATGGAAATTCCCAATACCTCAAACTTATAAATATGTAGCTGAACACTTGTCTATAATTTATAAATTATGTAAACTTCTACGTAATTCTAAAAACATATCTGAATTAAAAACTGGAAAGTCTGGAAATGCCTTTTGATGCCTCTCTCCAAATTTATACATCTACATACCTTCCAAAATCCATTCTCCAAACAGGAAGGAAGCTTGTAACAGAAAGGGACCTTGACTCTTCCACATCTTTTGCACATTTTACCCATTACCTTCTAGGTATGAAATGCATGGCAAAATACCCTCACAGTCAGGACTGCCCACTTGCCCACGCAAACTGTTATTCACACTAAGAAGTTCCCATGCAATCGTTTCACAAGACAAGTCTAGTCCAAACTCAGATCGACCTATTCGAATCAGGTTCTGGCTTTAACCCTGTGCTACTTTTCTGCACTGTGGACTTCAGCTCTGCTTGCACTTTAGGTGCATGTGCCAACAGTCCTTTCGCGGTGTATCCATGATCCTCTTTTCCCCTTCACTT